ACTATTGATAACACGGATAAATGTCGACCAACTAAAATGTTTATCCAACAATATAATTGATTGCTCTATTGATAACATGGTTAAATGTCGACCAACTAAGATGTTTATCCAACAATATAATTCCAGTAAAGGTGTGTTTCCATAACACAGATGTAAACTTTCGACCGGCTGAATGTTCATCCAACTGAAATATCCGGTACTACACACCTTTACTGGTTTCATAACACAGAGGTAAACTTTCGACCGGATGAATGTTCATCCAACTGAAATATTCAGTACTATATTTTTCTACTATAACTATTTTGCAGCTGCTTTAACGCACATTCTCCCCTACGCTAAAAATCGAGCTTCGATGCCCGTTGTGGGTAAAGCACAGTTAGCTCCTCGTGTAGTGTAACTTTGTGTTTAACAGAAACGAAAAATTCACGCATGTTTGAAATAAGAAAATAAATTTTCACACAAGTTTTTATTAGCTACAGGCAACTTTAGTGAAAACAAAAGTTAGAGCGTAACAATAACAATAGACGAAGTAGTAATCTTGTTTACAATTTTACAAACTACTTATATTTCAAAAATTTCGTTTTTTTGTAGAACCTAAATGCTTTTTTTTTGGACAACTTTAAAGTTAGTTTTACATTTGGCGATGATTTGTGTATATAAATTAATCATTTTTCAGGATGGTCCGGGCTCTGGAACGCACAGATCAGACCAATCATAGTGACTGGAGTAGCAGGGATCGTATTTATGGTGTTGCTCATCGTCTTCGTTGTTAAGGTACAAGCGAAGAGAAACTCAGGTGTGTGACATCAGATACTGTTTTAAATATACCAAGAGTTTAGTTATATAATTCAGTCATACTTGAGACTTTTTATGAAACGTTGCTCATTTTCTACATATAAGGTGGACAAAAGTGATTATACATTTAGAACGTAGGTTAACTTGTACCTATTACTGTGAAACAAACGCTAATAACAATGAGTTCAATTGTCTTCGTAATATTTTCTTTAGCGCCAACCGTATAGTAAATTTTGCCCCACCCTGTATATCAAAAATTTGATGCTTAAAATCAAAGCATTACATCGATCCTACTTATAAAGATGTACATTTCCTACATAACAATAATTATATCTATTTCCTTCTCAAATGGTGTTAACGATGAACATCTGTTTAATACGTTTATTACACACCATAATAACTGGGTGTACACATGTCTCAAGTGGTGTTAACGATGAACACCTGTTTAATACGTTTCCTACACACCATAATGTTTTGGTTTCTCAAGTGGTGTTAACGATGAACACCTGTTTAAGATACTTCCTACAAACCGTGTTGTTTTGGTGTCTCAATTGGTGTTAACGATGAACACTTGTTCAAGATACTTCCTACACACCGTGATGTTTTCGTGTCTCAAGTGGTGTTAACGGTGACTTGAGACACCAAAACATCACGGTTTGTATGAAGTATCTTAAAGAGGTGTTGGTGTTAACGATGAACACCTCTTTAAGATACTTTTCTACACACCGCAATTTGTAATGTAGACGTTGATCTCATATTGAAGGTATAAGCCTCGCGAAGAACGATTCGTTTGGAATCAGTTGCAATTGAAATGTCTTATGTTGTAGAGGGCTTATTACCGAAAGTAACAGTTTGTTGCTTCTGTTGTATAGATATGTGTACAGCTGGCGAACTGATTCTAGTACATTAACATTTCATTCTTTTCTTGTTTGAATATGATTAAAACTCTAACGGTTTCTTCATTACAGGGAAACCTTTTGCTGAAGACGACAACATGTAAGTTGATAGAAGTTTCTTTTTCTCTGTAAATCAAGGCTTTAGTCACTTTCAATGAACGTCACAATCTATTGTTTACATGTTTTTACTTTCTTAAAACAAAATAAAAATCAATTATGTTGTGAAGCAATTTCTCTTGAGTACTATTTGAATTAAAGCAACCAATACTAAAACATGCTCCTTTGAGTACTAATCAATGCAAGATTACCACATAAAACTCTAACTTGCTTTGAGTACTACTCAAAGTAATATTAATAAATAATCACATAAAATAACATCTCTTGAGTACCACCCTAAGTAAATAAACTACACAGAACACCATGTTATTTGAGTACCACACAAGTAAGTAAATAAAAAACTACTTAAAACAGCAACATCCTTTGAGTGCCAAAAAACATCTTCTGAGCATCTCTCTAAGTAAAGATACAATTACATGAAGCTCAAGCCTCCTTTGATCATCATTCAACTTCTCCTGAGCGCCACTCAAAGTGAAGAAACAACTGTTAAAATTACAAACTTCACTTAACTACCAGTCACACATAATTCCTTGTGCTTCATTATATATAATTCAATTGATTAAAATCTATCTTATATCTTGATATTGTTGCTAATAACTAGTATTTTCTGAGGTGTATTTTGAAGAAGTTCTACAACATGATGCTTTTCTTGCTCCTACTCATAGTAAAGAATATTAATATTTGGTTTTTCATACTTTAGATTTCTTTAACAATAAAATAAATTCATTAGGGTTAAACGTTTTTTAATACTTTTACTTAATTGTTTTACTTAGTTGGCTAATAGATTTAATACAGTACAACATGATTGAGCCTGTTAAAGAGTAATGGAGTGGTTTACTGATTTGTTGTATCGTACAATGAAACATGATTGATATATTTCAACCAACAATGGAGTGGTGTACTGTATTGTTGTATCGTACAATAAAACATGATTGATATATTCCATATCAACAATGGAGTGGTTTACTGTATTGTTGTATCGTACAATAAAACATGATTGATATATTCCATATCAACAATGGAGGGGGTTTACTGTTTTGTTGTATCGTACAATAAAACATGATTGATATATTTCATATCAACAATGGAGTTGTTTACTGTTTTGTTGTATCGTACAATAAAACATGATTGAGCTATTTCAACCAACAATGGAGTGGTTTACTGTTTTGTTGTATTCGTACAATGAAACATGATTGAGCTATTTCAACTAACAATGGAGTGGTTTACTGTTTTGTTGTATCGTACAATAAAACATGATTGATATATTTCATATCAACAATGGAGTGGTTTACTGTTTTGTTGTATCGTACAATAAAACACCATTGATATATTTCATATCAACAATGGAGTGGTTTACTGTTTTGTTGTATCGTACAATAAAACATGGTTGATATATTTCATATCAACAATGGAGTGGTTTACTGTTTTGTTGTATCGTACAATAAAACACCATTGATATATTTCATATCAACAATGGAGTGATTTACTCATATCTTGACCAAACCATCTTCAACTACAATGTCTCATCCCACTGAATTCCATGGAATAAACACTATTTTCAGCAAGTACGCATACAGGAACTTAGGCAATGAACAGTTGTGTGTTTTTATAGAATGAAGTTAATGTAGAAGAAATGTTTTATCTAAAGAAATAATAATTTTTGTCCTGCAATAACAATTGGAATGTTAACGAGAACATTTTTAATCTACAGAATTGCTTCACATTTTATTAGGATAACGACACTGTCTAGAATACCAAATACTACCAATGCTGTGTGAATATTACTCGCATAAGTTGGAATAGTTCAACAGAATTTGCATACTGAGTTCTAACCTAAAGGTCATACGTATCTCTGCAACTGTATTATGTAAATGCTCAGTAGAGAAACGGAGATATGTTACAGATTCATAAAGAACGTGACGTCTATGTTAGCACTGTAAAATACTAGTAGTCCGTACAATAGAAAAGCAAGTCCAACGCTATGGAATAATCTAATTTCTAATCAAATACTTTGTGCTTTAAATTTTTTTGAGAAGATAAGAGAATGGATAATAGTGAAACTTTGATAATATTTTATTTAGAGACGAGAATCACACTCAAAAGGCCGGAGAAGAAACCTACAGTCCATTAGCAACAGTAGAAGACGAACGAGGGCCAGATATACTTCCAGGCAAGTTTCTAGGGCAACTAGAAAATCAGATTTAACAGATTGTGAGAAGAGAAACTCTTGACGGAAGTATCAGAATCATCACATATTATTATGTTTGTGTGTGTGTGTGTTATCGGCCGAATATGGTTTTACAGCATGTCTAAGAACTGTAGAACAGGCATAGAATTAGCAGGTGTAAGATCTGATGCGTTATCTAACAATATTAAAACTAACACAGAATTAGCAGGTGTAAGACCAGATATGTTATCTAACAATATTAAATCTGATACAGGATTAGCAAGTGTAAGACCATGATAGATTATCTAACAATGTTAAAACTAACACAGAATTAGCAGGTGTAAGACCAGATATGTTACATAACAATATTAAATCTGATACAGGATTAGCAAGTGTAAGCCGTGGTATGTTATCTAACAATGTTAAATCTGATACAGGATTAGCAAGTGTAAGACGTGGTATGTTATCTAACAATGTTAAATCTGATACAGGATTAGCAAGTCTAAAACCATGATAGGTTATCTAACAATGTTAAATCTGATACAGGATTAGCAAGTGTAAGACGTGGTATGTTATCTAACAATGTTAAATCTGATACAGGGTTAGCAAGTGTAAGACCATGATAGGTTATCTAACAATGTTAAATCTGATACAGGATTAGCAAGTGTAAGACGTGGTATGTTATCTAACAATATTAAATCTGATACAGGATTAGCAAGTGTAAGACCATGATAGATTATCTAACAATATTAAAACTGACACAGGATTAGCAGGTGTAAGACCAGATATGTTATCTAACAATATTAAATCTGATACAGGATTAGCAAGTGTAAGACCATGATAGATTATCTAACAATGTTAAAACTGACACAGAATTAGCAGGTGTAAGACCAGATATGTTACATAACAATATTAAATCTGATACAGGATTAGCAAGTGTAAGACCATGATAGATTATCTAACAATATTAAAACTGATACAGGATTAGCAGGTGTAAGACCAGATATGTTACATAACAATATTAAATCTGATACAGGATTAGCAGGTGTAAGACCAGATATGTTACATAACAATATTAAAACTGACACGGGATTAGCAGGTGTAATACCTGATAGGTTATCTAACAATGTTAAATCTGATACAGGATTAGCAAGTGTAAGACCATGATAGGTTATCTAACAATATTAAAACTGACACAGGATTAGCAGGTGTAAGACCAGATATGTTACATAACAATATTAAATCTGATACAGGATTAGCAAGTGTAAGACGTGGTATGTTACCTAACAATATTAAATCTGATACAGGATTAGCAAGTGTAAGACCATGATAGGTTATCTAACAATATTAAAACTGACACAGGATTAGTAGGTGTGAGACATTGATATGTTATGTAACAAGGTTAACATTGACACAAGATTAGATTTATTTAATTTACTGAGGAATGTTAAAGTATTACCAGTTAGTATTTTATGTATGGTAGTACTCGATAGTAGGAATCGACAAGGATCCTAAATAATTCAAGCACCGAAAGACAACTCTATCGAATTCCTAAGCGAAAAATCGACCATTCAAATTTTTGGTTACGATATATTATGCGTATATATACTAATGGTACGATAAAACGTTCGCTAACAATTCCGGTATAGCGATTCAAAAATTTCGAAAACAGCAAATTTTTCGTCTGCTATCTACCCACCTGATCACGTCAGCGGGGCTAGGTCCTGAACGTCTCGAACTATCGCTACTAGATTTCTTCAGCTTACTTGATTGGTCTGTGTATATCCGCTTTTGATATCCCGATAAAAATCCATATATATTCGGGTATAATATAAATGGTAAAGATATCATGCACATACTTAAATATCTTTTAAACCCAATTCAACCCAATGGATGGCGCTACATATCAATGAACACGTGACAGCTTCTAAAGGTAAAGTATATACTTTATACATGTAGAACATAAAAAGTAAACAAACACGAGTATTAAAAATTATGAATTTTAAATTGAAGTAGGGATCCTGCTATAAAAAGTAATGAAACAAGAAATAAAACCACAATCACAAATATATAAAATTTCATCCTTACTTTGGCAGCTTTATATACTTATCTGTAGGCCAAAGTAATGATTAAATTTTTCAAATTTGTGATTGTGGTTTTATTTCTTGTTTCATTACTTTTTATATTTGTAAAATTTAATCATTACTTTGGCCTACAGATAAGTATATAAAGTATATATAAGTATATATATTTGTGATTGTGGTTTTATTTCTTGTTTCATTACTTTTTATAGCAGCATCCTTACTTCATTTTAAAATTCATAATTTTTAATACTCTACTTTGTTTACTTTTTATGTTATACTTGTATAAAGTATATACTTTACCTTTAGAAACTGTCGCGTGTCTATCCATCGATATGTTGCGCCATCGGTTGGGTTGAAAAGATATTCACGTACGTGCATGATATGTTTACCATTTATATTAAACCTCTATATATACAGGTTGGATTTTTATCGGAATATCAAACGCAAATACCCACAGACCAGTCAAGTAAGCTGGAGAAATTTTGTAGAGATAGTCCGAGTGTCTATGCGCTAGCCCCGCTGACGTGATCAGATAGGTAGGTAGTAGACAAAAAAGTTACTGTTTCAGAAAGTTTTGAATTGTTATACCGGAAATGTTAGCGACCTTTTTAGCGTATTATTAGTATATATATATATGCTTTGAACGGTCGGTTTTATGGCGCGTGAATTATCTGAAAACCTTGTCGATCCCTACTATTAAGTACTACCGTACTTAAAATATATATCAGGATGTTTAGACATATTATTCTCAGATTTAATGGTATTTTTTTGCTTTAGCGCAAAGCTACACAACGAGTTATCTGCCTCTATCAACCAAGGTGAACAGAAGACCAGATTTTTAGCTGCATTTAATGAACACGTTAAATCAGGCGTTGTTGTTTACAATACGAACAGCAATTAACAGTAGTGCGTATGTAAAAGTAAAGTAAGAAAATAACATTGATATTCGTTAATTTAGTGAGTATTAAACTTCATGTTTTACAAAACTTTCATCACTTCAAAGTTTATGGCTCAATTATAGAAATAAGAAGGCACTTCCAGGGCCATGTGGGTTCGTTTGTAGCCTCGGAACAACATTATTTTTTAATTTGTAGTTTAAAATGTACGATGTTTTGGATATTTGGACAAAGCTACATAAGGGCTAGCCATTCCTAATTTTTAAATGATATATTAGAGTAAAAACAGCTGGTCAATAGAAAGCTATAACCAACACTTGGGTTACTCAAATCAAATAGTTCAATTTGACCATTACTACCTCAACACGCCCCTACTTGGAGAGCTCGATTCTACGACACAAACCATGGACCCTCCGATCCACAGTCCGCAACTCTAATTGTTATATCACACCCGGCCCATTATTACCTTTAACCGAAGTAGGACGCATTATATGGTTGGGATACTTCCAAAAAATTGGATATATACCGTAAATGTTCATGAAATATACATGAAAACGTGGCAGATTCTTTTTACTTTTTCTCCGTCTTATATTTAGAATTCAAGTACCCTGCTTGAATACTTAACAACATAGAAAAGTGATTATTTAATGTATTATCTTTGTGATTGAAATTTTGTTCGACAGATATTCTGAAAACATTTTAAAATTTATTCTGATAAAACATCTCCATTGTATACCAATTGAAACGGTAGAAATAACTGTCAGTTTTACAGAAGATAACACGTTATTTATTTTTTTTTGGTCAATATGACCCAACATTCTCCAAGGTCATATTTTTGCCGAATAATACCACATGTAAGAAAAAAGCACAAAGAATGTCTCGAAATGATATTTCACCGGTTCCAGTTTTTCTATGATATCATACTATATTGAAAATAAGCACACTTTACATAAACCTGATAATATAGCACCGAAACAGTGAATAAGATCTCACGGACATAATCTTACCCGTGCAGGGAGCACAAGACAGAATATGGCAAAATACCGAATACATTTAGACAAAGGGTAAAGTCATAGAAAAAAAACTGTTATATGGCATAATTTCCTGAGGAATTGAGAATAATAAAAAAACACAATAATGCAAAATGAGGAAAATAAAGCAACCCCCCCCCCCTCCATTTCGAATTATTATTTGTGCTATTTTTATAGGAGACATTATTACTGGTGCTATTTCTGTAGGAGATATTGTTACCAACACTTGGTTTACTCAAATTAAATATTGTAATTTGACTGCCACTATCACAAAGCACCCCTCAGTGCGGAGCTCGATTCTACGGCAACAGAACACAAATCATGGATCCTCGGTTCCACAGTTCGCAACTCTAACTGTTATAATACAATCCGTCCTCTTTACAGTGGTATTATTACCTCTAACCGAAGTAGGACGCACTATATACTATTTTTTATGAGTCATTATTAATGGTGCTATTTTATAGGAGACATTATTACTGGTGCTATTTTTTATGGGAGACATTGTTACTAGTGCTATTTTTTATGGGAGACATTGTTACTAGTGCTATTTTTTATGGGAGACATTGTTACTAGTGCTATTTTTATGGGAGACATTGTTACCAGTGCTATTTTTATGGGAGACATTATTACTGTGCTATTTTTTTTATGGGACACATTGTTACTAGTGCTATTTTTATGGGAGACATTGTCACTGGTGTTGTTTCTATGAGAGACATCATTACTGGTGCCATTTTTACAGGTGCTATTATTATCGGGTACCTTTTCTTGGACCTTAGTTTGCAGCCGTTGGAATAAAGTTGGTTAGTTCTGTGGAATTAAAATTGGAAGATAAAACTATTCTCACTTCACTTCTTACACTTCGAAAAATTTATTAATTATTCATGTTATGTTCGTCTACAATACTAAGTTAAATATTTTACATAATCAAAAAATCAAACAAATCCCAAATGTTTCTACTAAATAAATAATACGTCATGAATATAGTTTCCACTCTCAGTTCCACAGGATTCTACTAAATAAATAATACGTCATGAACATAGTTTCCACTCTCAGTTCCACAGGATTCTACTAAATAAATAATACGTCATGAACATAGTTTCCACTCTCAGTTCCACAGGATTCTACTAAATAAATAATACGTCATGAATATAGTTTCCACTCTCAGTTCCACAGGATTCTACTAAATAAATAATACGTCATGAATATAGTTTCCACTCTCAGTTACATAGGATTCTACTAAATAAATAATACGTCATGAACATAGTTTCCACTCTCAGTTACATAGGATTCTACTAAATAAATAAATACGTCATGAACTTAGTTTCCACTCTCAGTTCCACAGGATTCTACTAAATAAATAATGTCATGAACATAATTTCCACTCTCAGTTACATAGGATTTTTTTAAAATACTACTTGATCCCCTCCCCTCCCATTACAAGCAGGGAGGGTGTAAAGGAATCTCAGATTGTTAACTCCACTCGTCTATCTACATGTACCTCTTCCTCCTCCATATCTCTCCCCCCTCGCCCCTTCAGGCTGAAACTGCTTTACATTCTGTATACAGCTACATGACCTCACTCTTTAAATAGCACTGTGAGTATGTGTTCGTGTGTGCTTAAGGTGCTTATAGTTTAACACTGATCAGATGACTGGAAAAAACCAATAAAATTATAATGAAGCGCTGATGTAATACTTTCAATGATTATTTAAAAGTACAACAGAACGATGGCAACAACAACAAACATTCGACACGTGTGTGTACAGTAACAAACAATTAATTCTTGAACGTTTCGGAATATAGATATTCCATCTCTAGCAAGCTATACTGAACAGGGTAAAATATTAAGTACAAAATTTATAAAGTTCAAACATGTTATTCTGTATTTTAATTACTCTTTATAAAATGTATGAATTTTATATGTGCATCAGCATATTAGCACGCTATTACTATAATATTTAAAACTTTATCTTTTGTTTTAGAATTTATAAACTATAAGAAGAGCTAGATGCTCTTAGCCTGTCCTAATTTTGAACTGGTAGACTAGAGAAAAAGCAGTTAGTCACGAGCACTCATCGCCTTGATCGAATAATGCGAAGCGGATTTTTTGCGGCAATGCGATATGAACCATGAATTATCAGATT